TCAGTTTATATCAGGTTCACAATCCCTGTAAAAAACTCCCCGCTTTGATTTTCCCTGCTGACACAAGCCTCAAAATCTTACTTCATCTTCCTTCCAGACTTCAATTACTCTACCATTGTCCTCCAACACCTGAGCCCTTGTTATTGGATATACCAAAGTGTACATTTAGCATAACTGAGATATGGATCTTCCTATGTATACAGTGAGATTTAATGGTATATAAGATGCTAGGTGCAAAATACACAGTCCCCACTAGAGCCACCATTTCTAAGTTTGGGTCAAGGGGACACAGGCATCCATGGGAGAGAACGGTGTGTGTGTGCGTGTGTGTGAGAGTTGAGTGATGACATGTGCTTCATAATGTAAACTTCATTCCTTATATAATTCTGTACAACATCACATCACAACACACATATACACACACCCAAAGCATATCAAAATGCACATTTCATCATTTTGGTGACATCATGGTTAGATAGAGACATCAGAGCAAGGGAGTAGAATATGTTTTGCTCCATTCCTCCCAATACTCAAGGACGTGAATACAAAAATATATGCTTTAATGAAGGTTGTTATTTATTAGCATGTTTTCACCAAAATATTTTCTCAGAAAGGTGTGTCCTGCAATTGGATCATAAAGACAATCCAGCTTTGGCACAATATGATCTGGCTAACAGTTCATCAGCTGATTAGAAAATGGTCCAGATTTACATCTTGTCCTAAACCAAAACATTTTGGCTAAATGGGAAGGGGGAATTAAATGTATAGTCCTCTTAAGTGTCTCATTAATCAATTACAAAACATTTGACAAGGTTCTCGAACTATTCAAAACATGTTTTCCCCAAAGGCCATTGCGTGTCTCCTCCTGAAATCAAAGAAAGAAGTCTCTGCTTCAGTTCATTATAATGCTGAGATAAATGAGGCTGTGCACTACAGATTACATTCAATTTAGCCTAAACATCTTCCTTAACAATCAAGATATTTGCCAGGTCAGAAAAACTCTAAGAGAAACAATACTAGAGGAAAAAAGAACCCAAAGAAACAGAAATGAGGCTCAGTTCAAATGATAATAAAATGTCAGGATTTATACAGGATTATGGATGAGCAGAACTATGCAACCTGGATTTGGATTTGTAGATTCAGAAAATCTCAAAAATACTTGGTTCCAAAGCTGCCTTTTAAAGTCCAGGGTAAATTCATATTTACCCTAAAGTTTTAGGAGCCAGAAGTTGAGATGAGATAAGTCCACAATGTATTATTACAAATATAACTGAATACAGTCTATTTGGATAAAGGTGGTATTTATTAAAAAAAAAAAGATATTGGGGTTTACAAGCAAAATGGTGACGGCCATTAAAAAATAATCTTTCTTCTTTCTTCAACCTAGCTATCAATGGGCATTGGGCTTCCATTTCTCAATACTTCCATGGAATAATTCTACATTGTGATATCATTTCACCCTTGATTCTGGAAAGCACTCCACCATCATGATGTGGCATCTCTCTGAGAAAGCAATTGTGAGAGGAATTTTTTTCCCATTGTTCCACTTAAATAAGCGTAACAGTTGACTTAAAACAGAAATGAAAGAATATATATTCATTATTGCATTTTTCATGGTAAGCTCCCCCTCCCTTGATCCAGTAACTTCCCATCTTTTAACCCATCATTATCAATTTTCCTTGGAGGAAAGAAAAAAATTCTGAAAATAATCTAGATCAGTTTTTGTCCCAGTGAATCAAAACAGCCTACAATTTTGCCCTAACATACTGATATTATACCAGTATTCCTCTAGATTCCCTGCGCTGAATTGCAAAACTGGGGAGTTGCAATAGACCTTTATTAGATACCAAAAGTTAGCATTGTGCATGCTTCAAAAACATATCTAATTTGTTTGCAAAGATAACACCTCTCTCATTAAAAAGGCTCTACCTTTTCAGGCTTTCATGTGAGTCTAAAAAACTATGACACTTAACATTAGGTTATTTTTTTACAACCTGACATGGAAGGCTGGAAAAGGTCAGGAAAAGTACTTCTTCCACTTTATTACCAAAATGTGCATAGCCTTACCAGCTATAAAGCTAGGATTACCTGAAGCAAAGAACCCCACAAACTTTCTTATGGTAAGCATTCTCTAAAGCAAGGAAAATGTTCTATGATCTCTTCACCTGGCATAAAGATATGCTTGCTTCTCTCATGTACCAAAAGTTTCTGTCCTGGTCTTTAGGAAATTACTACACAAATAAATAAGTTTTATCTGATACCAGGAAACTGGTCCTATCAACTCTGAAGAAGACCTTCACTGATGTTATCAGATCTACATGAGACCCTAATACATGGTCAGGTCCTAGAAGTAGCAGGGCCTTTCTAAAGTTGGGGAAAGCTTTAGACATCTCCTCAATGCATCTCTTCCAAATACTGTACTAATAAGAATGAGAATGGGTAAAGCTCCAGTTTTTAATGAACATTCTGGATTAATGGAGGCTCTTGTCAGTTTTTCCAGAGATAATCACCAGTGTTATGCTTCATAAGTTGGCAGAAAAGCATGATGGCATAAATTGCACTGTCTTTCCAGCTGATCCCTATTTTGCCTAAAGAAGGAAGGCAGTGTTGGTCTGATGCTGGACAAATTAAGAAAGCAACTGGTTTTATTTATCCTCCCACAGACATCACCTGCTGGAAGGAAAAGCAATCACCAATCACTATTCTTAAAGTTTCATGGATGGGGATAGGTGAAAATAGGCAAGTGTTTAGAATGGTTATTTTACTCACCCATCAAACTGCCCAAAGAACAGACATGGGGGAGTGCTGTCAGGCTATTTCTGAAGAAGTGCTAAATCCATGCCCCAAAACAGCCCAGCAGACAGGTCCAGGCATGATGGAAGGATGAGGATTTACGTGGAATGAAGAGATTGTTCTGTCCTCAACTAGTGTGTCAAGGAAATGGCATAGGAGAGGGCAAAATGTGGCTCCTCCCACTCTTTGTCAGAAGCAGCAGCAGAACATGACTCAACTGACCTCACTGCATGCAATGTGGTACTAGTACTTTTTTGAAGGGGTGCTAAACCCAAGTTTAAAAAACAGATTTAACATTCTTTCAAATGCTAAACCCATTATATAAGGAGCTTGTGTAACACCTGACAAGTGCCTTGAAACATGTCAGTCAAGGATGATACAGAAAAATACTTCTGCAGAACCAGGCATTTAATTTCTCCTCCAGCCCAAGCAGAAATGTCCAGAGAAGCCAGCATAAAAAAGTGGTTATCAAGACATTTGTGCCATAGTTAGTAGGATGCAGAGATGAGCCCTGTGACTATTCTAGCCAAGCCATAATAACTGTAAATAACCAATGTCAGGGACATGACTACCACTTCAATGGAGCTGCATGAACAAAACATTACACAGCTGAGAAAAAAAAACTCTGAAATATGAGTAACCTAATAAACAATAAATGAATTTGAAAGCTATCAATCGAATTGGAAAAAAAAGATTATCACCAAATCCATCATAGAAATAACAGATATAACTTATTCTGGAAGGGGCACGAATACTTTAAAGAAGACTAGAGAAATACATGGCAGAACAAGCAGGAGGGGAGAATTGAGTAAAACATGGACACCCAGAAAGGTTATACAGGTAGTCCTTGTTTTAGCGACCACAACTGGGAACTCAGTCGTTAAGCAAAGCGATCGCTAAGTGAAACCACAATTGCGTTTATGATCTTACTTCAGTTTTCCTTTGCTTTACAAATCTGAGAAGGTCATGAATGTGAGGATTGGCATAAAGTTACTTTTTCATCACAGTTGTAACTGTGAATGGTTGTTGAATGAGGCAGTCACTAAACAAGGACTACCTGTATAAGCCAAAAGGAGGAGAAAAATAACAAAACAATGCATTCCTTACCTGGCACAAGCCGCTAATACACATGTCTAGTGATTCAGTATAACATCGAGTTCCATCCAGGACTTTAGGCGCCAGTTCTACAATAAGGTTTGTCTCTTTCGCCTGGCACCTCAATGAACATGGGTTGTCAGGATCATTAGGGACAGGAAGCCATTCATAAAACTGCCCCTGATACTTGACATCGTTGTGTGCTGAACACTGCTGGGTTCGAAAATCACCTGCTTCTGGAGGGCAATCCTAAAAACAAACAGAAAAAAAAATCAAAAGTCTACTGAATCTATAATATACAATGTGCTTAGACATGGGCTGGAAGCAACAATAACTTTAAGAAAATTGAATTCTGAGAAATGCATTGATTCCCTTGTCACCTGCGTCTGTCTTTCTGAACTTCTAGTAACTGGTAATAAAAAAAAGTCTGCAGAGAAAAAAACAATGAAAAAACTTGCAAAACCTGTTCACCAATGGCAAACAATGGTATTCCTATCTATCTCCATCCAAAGGGAAACAGAATCATCAAAGTGTTTCATGGCACTTTCACTAGAGATTCAATCAGTAGTATAATCTTAAGCATGTCTACTGAGAAGAAAATTGCACTGAATTCAGTAGGGTTCCTCTAAGGAAATGGCGTAAGGTTGCAGCCAACTTATCACTGAGAAACAACTAAAAGTGAATAGCAAGAGAGCAACATTCTGTGTTTCAGCACAAGAAATGGATTGTTGCTACTCTCACAAAATGCTGCCTGTTCTTCAGCATTTCAGCATTCAGCATTTCTTCTGACTTCACAAGGATGAAGAAAGATGTATATAGACCTAGCCAACTTTTCTTTTCCTTTGAAAATGGAAAGGAAAAAAAGGGAGGAGGAATCATGAAAATTACTTGATTAAAGTGTTTGTTTATTTAAGCATTCTTTGCTAGCTTTTCTTTCCAAAACGACCTAAATCAGCCAGTGAAGCAGTATGAGCCAGAAAAACGTTATGTATATTTGTATTACTTCAACCTGACTAACACAAGCAGAGATTTTTACAATCCACAGAATCAGTAACTCTTCAGGTTTTTTTTTTTAAATGCTTTTTATAATTCTTCTTCTTAATCTCCCAGGAGAGGTAGTTTCGGGTGCAACTTAACTTCTCTAATTTTTGCTAAATGATATGCAATAGAAGTCATTTATTTGCTAATATTAATAAGGACTGCACAGATATTTTGTTGGATCTCTTAAAAGAAACCAGAAAGAACGTGATAATCCAATTTACAATAACCTTGTAACCTCACTCATAGAAATATTTAAATAACCATTTTATTTGGTCAAAGTTTAAATTCATCCATTATTGCAGCCATTTTAATGAAGACTGTCAGTGAATACAATATTTGACTGCCAATATTCTCAAAGCATAGAATGTTCATTGTTCATGTCTGCTTCCCACTGAATTCATTTACCTATCATGTCCTTAAATAAGAACTATTAATTCCTTTACTGATAAGCTCAGCCTTGCAAAATTGACATGGTTGGAAATTGTTTCTGGCAAGTTAGCCATAAATCACTTTAAGCCACTTAGTCTTTGTGTTTTCACTAGCACATAAAAATAATCACTTGCTTCATTCACTTTCATTTATTACTGTGACTTCCATTTTTCTGTGGCTTATATTAAAATGATCCTGCAGTGGGCCACTAGCAAGTAACAATTTCTAACAGTATTTATATCCTGCCTGATCTTGCTTTTTTAGTCGCCAATGTCATGTACAAAGAGGCTGGCAGAGTCTCCTATTCCACCCAACTTTTATCTGCATTTCTTCCCTTTGCCAGTTATTAGTTTGGTTATTGGAACCACTGAATTAGCCCAGTTACAGTAAACGTTTCTGAGGATTCAGAAAGTGTTTTTCTTTTGGTTCTGCTCTGTTTAATGAAAGAAATACAATCCTGGACCTTCTACATGAGACCTTTTGGCCTTTAAGGCTTCAGCCAAAATTACTGGCTGTAATTACTTAGGCTTTATGAGGAGTGGGGATGGGGAATGATGAAATGGGTCTTTTCTCCTGACAGGGTCACAGTACAGGAAAGATAGTCCCAGTCACTGTAATTATAATGCATCTAGATAGTCACTGGGGAAAAACAATGCAATTGAAACAGAAAGGTAGTATCACAAGCAATCTTCTTCATAATTCACTCCTCAAGAAGCTCCTTCAGATTATAAGCACAAACATGCTTGTGCCTCTTGTTCTTTAAGGGGTTGCTGTTATTGCCCCAAATAGCATGACAAGATATGTAGATAGCCTACAATGTGGTAGGAGGAGAAATGGAAATATTCTAATTTGAACTACACAGAAAAGTACAGCGAACAGGAAGTCTGAACAGGTACTTCCTGTCCTCTGCAAATCTCGTAATGCTGTCAACTGCTCCTTTTAGCAGAACCGATTCTGTTTCTTCTTAACCAGAATAAATGGGGATCTGCTTTCATCCTTAGAAAAAGCTGCGAAAACTCCTGTGTCAGCGAGCTGAGGCCCAGATCAGCTTGAGCATGTAAACAGCCTGGGAAAGTGCGAAAGCAAGTGTAACTCTGTTGCTGATTTTTCTTTTTTTATTCCATGAGGGCAAGGAGCCTGGTTTAATAGCTTGGCTTATTCATGCATCCACAGAGCCAAGCTAGATCTCTTATTTGATTCTGGCTTGGCTCAACCTACAAAACGTTCCGGCTTGTACTGATTTATTTTTACAAAGACAAAAGGTCCAACAAAGCATACAGATATATAGCATACAGAGTTCTCAGTCTAGCTTTCTTCACAGTTGAACAGGATTGCTTAAGCACTTTGTTTTTTTGTTTTTGAAACCAAAATAATAAAAATGCACGGTCAACCTAGCACATTCTCAAGACTCTGCGGGTGATCGGGGAGCAAGAGTAAAATACTACTTCTCTTTGATTTTCATGATTAAAATAATAGCACAGTTTTAAATAGCCAAATGGGTGTTAGGAGAAGTTTTCTGTGAAACTTAAGCTGTTTGAAGGGTAAATATAAGCACTCAGGAAAGTGTACAGGCATACTTATGCCACTGGCCCCAAGGCAAGAATGAATGAATTTCAATCTCTGGTGTAAAGGGCCAGCACAAACATGCGATGTTCACTCCCAGTTAAGTTTAACATCTTTCCAGCACAGGACCCTCTTATTACTTACCTGCTTTCCAAAACAGGCTATGTAGCCAGGCAGGCCTGGGGATTGGTTAGCTGACTAGGTTTTGTTTTTTAACCAAGTTGGCATTCTAACCGCAAACCCAAAGATCAACTGGCCAGGCACCCTCACCCTGACAACCCTTGTTCTGCTAGGCCTTCTCATTCCTGCTGTATGGCTGTTCCAGAAGAGCAGTAGCAGTTATGGCAGCTGACTTCCTCAAAACTCTTTCCTGGTGCATGGTCAGCACCGATTCCAATCAGGCAGCTAGAACATGCTGATGAAATGCTTAATTGTGGTTTGCTTAATCCTGGTTTGTTAAATAAGCCACAATAATCAGACTCAACCAGACAGAAGCCCTCAATTATGTCTTCTGCAGAGACTTATGGAACACCTTAATGGTGTTCCTGAATGTTAGTAGGGAGGGAATTATTCTAATCTTTTTTGGGGGGGAGTGAGAGATTGTGAGAAGGCTGGGAAAGGCATGGAAGAGAGAATAGATATAAACAAGCAAGAGACAGAGAGCACATCCACTGGCAGCTTATCTCAATAACAGAGCTTAGCCCAGGTAGCAAGAAACCTGTGAAGAAGCATTTCAAATCATTCAAAGAGACTCCACCTTGATTAACTCACTAGAAATGAGGCTGAGAAATTCTATTTACCGTTTCCAAGATTCTGTATTTACCCCAGAGCAACATTAAATAGACCTTACAGAAATCTATGTACTTCTTGTTACCTCGAACTTGCCCAGCTGTCTGGAGCTCAACAAAGGGCTCAGACTATGAAGGCCTACCTCCAATTCCTTCTCGCTTGGGGGAAAGAAAAAAGGCCTTTAAAGCAAAATACCCCCAGTTACTGAGTTCCTACAGTGTGTTGTTCCTAAGCTTTCAGTAGTCCTCTCAGTTGAATACTACCCCATGTGATGCTACCCTTTGAAGTTGACTTGGAAGCGACAACTGATGCAAAAGACAGCAGTCTGCCTGCTGACACACAGGAGCCAATACAGCACATAACACCCATTGGCTATAGCTTGCGAGAGCAGTACTGTGGGGACATGAGTCACTACTGAATGCTTAGGAACAACATGCTGTGGGAACTCAGCAGCTAGGGGTGTTTTATCTAAAAAATTACTGTATTTTCCCAGTGATAGAGCACTAATAGAATTTCTGCTGTTATTAATCCTATCTAAAACTTGAGACTCTGGGTGTTCCGTTTTGAATTTAGGAAGAGTATGCTTTTTCCCCCAGCTATCAGACATCTCTATGGTTTGCACACACAGGCCTCTCTTGAACACTTACTTGTAATCATGGTTGATGATTCTAAAACAATGGCTTTAGCCAGGGCTCCCATATCTGGGCTGTAAAACTCTGAATCACTAGATGGCAGTAGCTGAGCATTCTCTGTCTGTCTTTGATGCCAATTAATGGTTATCCTGATTATTGCAGTCGGGAGAGGGAAGCCTTATCTGAGACCTGCTATAGATGAAGTTCAGCTCCCATTTTTTTTGGAGACTCTACTCCAGCTAAATTATATTTGTCAGATGGATACTAAGGAGAGAACTGTTTTAGTGATATCACCTCAGTTGTAGAATACCCTCTCCAGAAATGCTCACCGGCACAAATTCTTTAACTTCTGGAGCTTCAGATGAATAACTTTTTTTTTTTTAATCTTAGGATTTTGAAGGGAGTTATGGAATTTTTATGGGTTGTATTTTTTTTGCTTACTAAAGTTTTAGAATTTTACTGTTCTGCATGTGTATTTTTAATATGAATTTTAATTATGTTTAAATCATGTACACCACTAAGATATCTTTGGTTAAGGGCCTCACTGTAATATTGTAAATGAAGTTGAAAAACAAAGTGCTGACTTGGAGTTAGAGAACTAGGATTCAAATGTTTTCTTAATTGTGATTTAGTGGGGAAATTGGGGAACTCAATCTTTTCCAGCTTCACTATCTTTCTTTTAAAAAGAGTTGTAATAATCATAGCTCATGAAAGTTTATGGTGGGGAAAAAACAAAATAATTATAAAATTGTTTAGCATACATAAAGCATTAGTGAAATATACATTACCAATTGT